CTTGATTTAGGCCCTATATTGGTGCGAGAGACAAGGAGAACCGAAGCCATCCCAGTGCACACCCAGCTTCTCTCCAGTCTGTGCTGTTGCCCAGCGCCACATTGCAGGATTAGATTGGAGATATGCGCTCCTTGAGAAGAAGGGCTTTTCCACCTGCATGACACAGGGCTGGAATACTTGTGGAGCGCAGTGTCAGCCACTCCCACACCCGGTGAGTTCCTGACAGCGTAGTGTCATCAGATCATTAGTACTCGCTGCCCGTCTTAAGAGGAAATGCTTTTCACGGCAGGGTGATGGATGCCACAATTCCCCTGGCCCCAGCCTACACCCAATTCCCTTACAATCATCACCAACGAGCCCACATCAAACGAGGACTTCACCCTGTAGGAGCCGTGAATAGGGTGAAATATAAAGAGAATGATTTTATATGACTAATAGTAATTGGACATTATTTATATTAATGTTAAATATTGTTTGGTGTTATTATTATTGTTGATTATTTGTATAATTATGGTTATTTGTTGGGAGCTGGTGACATGGATAGGGTGGGGACGTTTATTTAGGTACCTGCTGCTTACCTGCACGTATGCAGTTGTTGAAGGAGAGGGTGTGTGGGATGCGGTGTTTTCTGTTGACCGTAAACTTGATCGCTGTGAGCCATACACTACACCCACATGGCATTCAGAGCAGCATCACTAAACGAACCGAATTATGTTAACAGAAAAGTATTTCATTCAATCAACATATAATTTGCAATGCACACCTGTTTGAGTGAACTCTGGACATCTGACAGAACCAGAATCAGCCTGTGAGGCGTTCAGGGCCACCTGTAAGCGTGTTCTCTATCAATAAGCAGACATTCAACAGGTGAGACTCTCTCCTGTGCCAAATACGAGGGAAGTTGCTTTCACCAGTGCTGCCAGTTAGTCACTAAAACATGTTCTTATTGTATTTGCTGGTGACTGTTTCAGTGTGTGTAAAGTAAAGGTTTCCCTTCTTATGTGGTGTTCAGTTCTGATTTGAAACACTGCAGCTGCCTTTCAGTGATTCAACTCTGTGATGACTGTTTTTTCTCTCTGTTTTACAGGGATACACACAATTTCAGTCCATGGAGAACCAACGTACCTGACTGGTACTGAAGGTAGCAACATCACGCTACCGGACAAAGTGATGGAATCTGGGACTCTCTCATGGGGGGGGGTATCTCGTCTTGTGGTGTCAAACGGGATGATCGGCAAAAGATTGGACAACAGGTTATTGTGGAACAACTCTACTGGAGAGATTACAATCACTGATCTTGGGAAAGATGACACTCGGGAGCTGATTCTTAACATCAGAAACCGTTCCCCTGTGATATACAGCCTGACTGTCCATGGTAAGTTACAATTCTACTTCTAAAGGCTAATACACCTGATGTGGCATTTAGAGGGTTTTACACAAAAGTTGTGTTTTTCTCACATTGAAATTTGAGGCTTTTTGAACAACATCTCAGGAACTATTAAAGACAAAAACCTGAAATTTTTACTTTTATTTCTCAGCATGTCACTGAGTCATAATCTGTAATGTTGGAAAAGTAGATCAAATAATCTCTGACTATGGATGAGTTGAAATATGACAAAAAAAGGAAGTCATCACGAAAAGTCTTTGAGCTCATATTAACAACAACAAAAATTTATCAAGCAGAAGTCAGCCAGTGATAATTTCTGAACCATATGTAGCTGCATGTCCCAATAATACCAAACTAAACATGTTGATTATTTTAAAATGAAATACTTGGTCACAGAAATGAAAACATTGAACTTTCATAACTGCTTAAGGCAGGTTTGGGAAGTTATACGACTGTAGTGACTTGATGTCGACAAACAAAAAAAACCTAAGCCACAGTGAGGTGCTGGTACTGAGATATGTAACTGACACGCCATCATGTGGTGGCTCCACGCAGTGAATCAAATATCTGTGGACTTGTGCTTAAGATGTGTTTGTTTACCACCATGTACCACTACAGCCGTTGCTCTGCACACACTTACATCCATAACTTGCATGTAAACAAACAAAAGGCTTAAAAATTAGCTTCTAAACTGCGGCGGTCAAAAACTGTGTGCTTCTCCCGGTAAGCAGCACACCCGAGGAGTAATTACCTCTTCTTCGATTTATACTTTTCCATGTGCTGCTGTCCAATATGCCACCTACTGTGGCAATCGGGGAATGACCTGAACACACATACAAATGGCTGTAACAACTACAAAAACTAAAACCTTGAGCTGTTCTTTCTCTGGACCATCCTCAGAACACAAAAGGCCTTTTCCAGTAGCGACCCTTTTGTTCTTGTTGTTGTTGTTCTTCTGTAATAATAATAATAATAATAATAATCAATATAATGATGCAAAGTTTATTCATAGAGTATCAACTTTTTAAAACAGAGTTTATAAGTAAACATTCTTTAAGTGGAGTGCACACTGTAAGCTATATACTGAAGGAAAACATAAAATTTATGTTTACCAAAGTCTAACTTTTCCTCTGCAGCTGCTGAAGTGACTCCTGCCGTGAATCCTGCAGTGACTCCTGCAGTGAATCCTGCAGTGTTCCTGTCCCTGCTCCTGCTCCTGGTCATCCCAGGATTTTGAGTTTATTTTTGTTTCATAAGAGAAGAGCCAGAATCATCAGTGATCTGACAGGTATGTGTTTCTTTACTCACTACTCATTTTACAGAACTTTATCTACAGAACATTTTGGTAAAC